CACTGAGCCACACTGTCCTGGCATATTTTCCATATGAACAATTGTAAACCTACTTTTGCCCCACCCTGTATATATGATTTATATATAATACATATGATATATATTATAATAGGATACATATTATTTATTATAAGGACTTGAGTCACATGGTTATGGAGGTTGAGAAGTCTAAGGTCTTAGTTGACAGGCTGGAGACACAGGAAAGCCAATGCTATAAGTTCCAGTCTGAAAGCTGGCACAGGCTTGAGACCCAAGCACTGATGTTTCAGTTCTTTCTGAAGGCAGAAAAGACCAATGTCCTGGCTAAAGGCACTCAGGCAGGAGAAATTCTCTCTTACTCCATGGAGGGTCAGTCTTTTTATTCTATTCAGGCCTCCAACTTGAATTAGAAGAGGCCCACTCATACTGAGGAGGCCAACCTGCTTTACTCAGTCTACCAACTTGACTGTTAATCTCATCCAGAAACACCCTCATAAAAAAACACCCAGAATAATGTTTGACCAAATATCTGGACACCCTGTAGCCCAGCCAAGTTGACACATAAAATTAACCATCAGGAAAGGTAAGGACACTTGTCATTTTGAAAGCTAGCAACAGATTGCCCACACTCATCAACAATGTTCCCAAAGCCTCCCAGGAACTGGTGTGTGGTCAAGTATTACGATTTTTGCAAATCTTATCACCCCCTTCCCCACTGTTTTAAAAAAGCTCTCTTGATCTAGATGTTCTTCCCACAAAACTTCTTGCAAAGTTCAAAGCTAGACAAGGGAGTGCGCAGCTGTAGAATGGCCTGGAATAACTGAAGTGATAGCCTGTGTACCAATCCCCTCTCTGCCCTCCAACTGGTCTCTCTGGAAGGTTGAAATGCAAACACAAAAATAACCCCACCTCAATGGTCCTATGTCCAGGAGGTGCTGGGATATTGTGCCCATCGTTTGTGCGTGGCTAAGCACCAATATTTCAGACAGACGTAGGTCCAAGTCACCTGGCTCACCCACTTTAATTCTATTTACACAGCATCTTTTGAGCACCTGCTATGTACAGGCACTGTACTGGGCACTGGGGAGAGAGCAGTGAACAGGCAAAGCCCTGCCCCTGGGGAGTTTCTGTTCTTGCTGAATGAGAAAGATGATAAGCAAATAGAAGATGATAAGAAAAAGGAAGCAAGGAGAGGAGATAGAGATGGGGGTGCTTTTTAAAACCACTTTTTAAAATGAAAGTTTTTATGGAGGTAGACATTTTATGCCAGGTGCAAACAGCTCCTCCCTTGTGCCATCCTCTCACAGTCAGTCAGGTGGTGGGGGATGCTATTATTTTAGAGCGGGTGGTCAAGGAGGGCTTCTCTGAAAAGGTGACATTTGAGCAGAAAATGAGTGAAGGCCATGTAGACCTCCATCTTGTGGAAATGTGTCCAAGTGGAAGGAACTGCAAAGGTCCTGAGGTGGGAGCTTGCTTGGGCACTCAAGAAATACATGTGGAAGGATCTGGGAGCTATAGGGGCAGTGTGACCATGGGATAGTGGCTTGGCTTCTTTGAACCTCCAGTTTCCTTATCTATAAAATGGGCCTGCCCGGCTGGGTGTGGCTCAGTGGTTGAGCATCAACCTAGGATCCAGGAGATCGTGGTTCGATTCCTGGTCAGGGCACATACCTGGGTTGCAGGCTCGATCCCCAGTCTGGGGCGTGCAGGAGGCAGCCAATCAATGACTCTCATCATTGATGTTTCTATCTCTCTCTCCTTCTCCCTTCTTCTCTCTGAAATCAATAAAGATATATTTTAAATAAATAAAAAATAAATAAAAAATAAAAAATAAAAAATAAATAAATAAATAAATAAATAAATAAATAAAATGGGCCTAAGACTTTCTACTCTGAGAGGGTGGTGGTGAGGATTAATTGAGATTGTGCCTGGCACAGTGCCTGGCGTGGAGTGTGCCCTTCCAAAACAATCCCTTATGAACAAAAGCCTCTTCCTGTTTTCCAGAGGGGAAAGCTAGGTGAGGAGGGCGCTGGCCAAGGGGGGCTGTCAAGATAGGTAAAGGGGGGAGGGAGCTTCAGATCTCCCCTGTAGACATATAAGTACAGAGGTGTGTGTGTGTGTGTGTGTGTGTGTGTGTGTG